AATAGTTATCACCGCAATAAACCGTATTTAATTTTGTCTTAATTTACAGGATTTAATTTCATATTCTGTTCTTGTACATATCCCATATTCTATTGACATGTATATAGACTACCTTTTATTTTGTATTTTTGTATTTTATTATATATGTTGTATTGCTGGAGGAGCTCAGGTCAGAAGATTTTCATTGCTATTTCTACGCTGTAGCTTATATGAAAATAAAACCTTTGAATTTGAATTTATTTATGGAAAGATGCGTCCTATAACTATAACCAGCAGAGCCTCACCTCGGTGTGTGCGTCCTCCTCTCCGTCCTCCAGCGTCAGCGCGGCCAGCTGTTTGGACCGCTGCTCCAGAAGGTTCACGTACCGGATCGGGTTGGACAGAGCCTCGATCACATCTGGACACGAAATGCAGATAAAGATTAAAAAACCTAGATGAATACAGAGCTGCCTGTACTTTATGGGTCTGTCTCATGGACGTGGACATATTTAAGTTACTTTTAAATGTTGTTGAAGTGCAGAAACATGTTCTTTGTGTAGATTGCAACTCAAAGACTGAGTATGAAGTCTACAGTGGTGTAAAATTAAAGTCCATTCATGTGAGAATTAAATAAACACAATATTGAGGTACTTGTATTTTCACTGTCTGCTGCTTTGTACTTCTACTCAACATTATTTTAGTTGTATATTATCATAAAATACTGTAAATAAAACTGAATAAAATCAACAAATTAAAATGGATTGTTTATTATTATAGGAAAATGTAGACTGGTCCGAAAAAAAACATTCTTGCATGAAAAATTAGCAAATTTCTTGATTTTAAAACTCGTTTTTTATGAAAATATGTCGGAATAGTTGATTTCCTGCAGAACAGTGTTTACTTTCTTTGAATTATTACCTGCAAAGGTGTCTGGGACGTAGTCTTTGACTTCAATGTAGACAAACACAGCCGGCAGAACCAGAGACTGATTCTTCTCGTTCCTCAAGCTGATGTAACGATAACCTGAAAGAAAGATCAACCAACTGTCTGAAGCCAAAGAGTCTGATGTGTTGGGTGAGTAATAATGAAAGAATCAGGCAAGAAAGAATGAGATGTATAAAGAACAAATTACAAGGAAACATAGCAATGAAAATGAGTGTGATAATATTACAGTCCTAATAGATTCCTCTTGATAGTACACACTGACCCATTACAGTCTCACAATAGACAGAGAGGAAGTTCATGTGGGATGAATAACTACCTGGTCTGATGGCAGACACTGGAATGATCCGATGACCGATAAACTTTCCTCCTTCCTCAAAAGCAGCGATCCTCAGCGAGGCCAGAGTGGGAAGAATCACCTGCAGAGAGTCAGAACATCCTCACACTGGTTATTGTTGTTAGCATCTGGAGCTAGCTACACTAATGGATATCAGAAGCGTTTTCAACAGGAAGTAGGAGGACGAGTTATCAGCAGATGAGTCAGAGTTACATCTCAGGTTGGTTTCTGTTGAGTCTCACCTTTTTGAAGACGATGGGCTCCTCGTCCCACACCGGGTTGACGGCGTTGTTGTTCTGAGAGGTTTTAGTTTTCAGGGCTTTCCTCCTGGTGTCTACAGGAAGTCCGAACATGTCCGCCTCCACATACACACCCACGCGCTTCTCAGTGAGAAACTGTCCTGAAATCACCTGGATCACACACACACACACACACACACACACACACACACACACACACACACACACACACACACACACACACACACACACACACACACACACACA